CTGTAAAATCTGTGGTAATGTCTCCTAGATCTTGATATTGTAATTTTTAAAATGTATAATTGATATTCTGTAATAGGAAGAAAAGGTCTAAAGGAGCAGGGGAGCTGGGAGGGGTACGGGAAAGGAAAGAAGAGAAAGGGAAAAATATGAGAAAGGGAAAAAAATGGAAACAAATTCTTTGCAAATAAGGAAGGGTGGAGGGGGTGACGGGAGGGCAGGGGAAGGGGAAAAAAAATAAGAACCAAGCGACTCATGTAACAAGATCCCAATGATGAATGTAACTGTATTTTATACCTAAAATGTACCAATAAACTTAATGGGAAAAAGAAATGACTGGAGCAATTTTGGTTGTTCCAATGAAACTACTTGTAGTATTTAGGGGCCAATCCCAGCCTATATACATGAGTTATGAAAATTCTGTTTAGAACTGGACTTACAGTCACACGTAAAAATGTGTTTATTTTTCAGGAGTTTTTTATTTCTTGACTATTTATAGAGCATTTCCTATCCCAGGTTAATTTACATACAAAGAGTGATTTAAAAATATAGTGGGGCCAGGGATTTAGCTCAGTGGCTTTGCCACCTGCTGCACAAGCTCAGGACATGAGTTCGACCCCTGGTAGCAAAAAAAAAAAAAAAAAAAATACAGTGAATACTGCTGGCAGGTGTCCTCCAACAGAAAGGCAGGGGTCTTCAATAGAAGCAGCAGCTCCCTGAGCCTTAGTAACAGTGAATAACAAGTTCCAACTTCCCCAGTGCAGTCAGTCAGTTGTGTGCTATGACTGAGAGGGGCATTTTACAGTGTGCCATAAATCATGGATCATGAACAGCACATTGCATTGGAGTTGCAGGATTGTGCCACTTCACATTTTGTCAAGTGAAAAACATTCACCAGATCTGGTATCATGTGACTTCTGGCTCTTCCCCAAAGTCAAAAGTTTTTTAATTGATTCAGGACAAGGAGGCAGCCAGGGCAACACAACTAAAGACACAAAAGAGGACATCTAGAGTGGCTTCAGATAGCTGCAAGAAGGATGGGTAAGTGTGGTTGAAATGAGGAGGGTTTGGAAGAGGGTTAATGGCTACTATAATAATTTTAATTTAAATATTCACCATACCTTTTCTATTACATCTTATACACTGAATTTTCCAGAAATGTAACTACCATTACAATTCAAAACAACCTGTATTTTGGGTTTGGCTTTGCTTTTGGAATATTACCTAGAGATTTTTTTCACCATTTCAAATAGATACAACAGAGGCAGCAATACTAAATCTAAATGAGTCATTGTTGGAGCTCAGAAAATGACACCTTACACTCGTGGTGGCAAACCTATGGTACATGTGCTGCAGCTGGCTTTCTGTTATCACTGAAAGCTCTAAAAGGTTCACCATCACCACAACTACACTCTCAGGACAGCTTGCCTTTTAATCTTCAGTGCCACTGGTTCACAGAGATTCTGGGCTAGTTGCAAAATTCTGCTACTATTTTACACCAACCACTGCAGCCTGTTATATTCATATTAGTGAGAGAGTCCACACAAAACAATTATTTTAAAGGGGGGGAGGTTAAATATAAAAATGTTGAATCTATTTGGGTTGAAATCTCTAATCTGCTCTGGGATCCTGGAGACTGTGCCCACCTCAGTCTGCCAAGCCTGAGCTTCATACTGTCTGTACCCTAAAAATCTAACAGATAAAGCTCTGTTACATAAATTACTTGCACGATCATCTCTTAGAACTCATTTTACAGATACAGAAACTGAGACCAGGAAAGATTGAGAAAAATAAAATAAGAATGTTGACAAAGGGAGGATTGGGAGCTCCTGAATGTGCAATTAGACTTAGTGAATTTCTTGAGTAAGAAGGGCATTCTCAGAAATCCAGAGGCTACCAGATGTTTGAGTGTAGGCCTATGCTCAGTGGAACTGTCCACAGCAAATATTTGCCTATTGTCTAAGCCCAGTAAGGAGAGGGATTCAGCAGCTCCGAACCAAGAAGTTTTTCCATGTATTTCCTTGCCTTAGTTTTGGGTGATTTATTCTAGTAAGCTATGAATGTCTATGGCCATACCACCTTGAACATGCCCAATCTTGTCTAGTAAGCTGCAAAAATAACCACTGCAAGTAAA